TGATGTTTACATGAAAATGCGATGCATAATGGGAAGAGTCTTACAATAACCTAATTTCTGACTAAAGTTTTTTAGTGTTCGAAACTAATAGATACTGAATAGAGCCAGTTATGAGAATATAGACACTAAAATTCAGGCTAATTTAATGTTCCAACTATATGCAGATGCATTTAATAGATTCTATTATCATTAGACATCTAAATAAAGTTGTAACTTTAAGTAATCCTGACGGACCAAGGGAAGTTACCAGTGAAAACAGATTCATAATCATTCAGTTCGAATCATAAACAAAGAGAAAACAAGTCTGCACTAACTCAGTTAACAAAGAATTTTAGATGATTCTAATTTTGATAGAAATGACTGAATTTCAGCATATCATCACCTGATGCAGATTATGTTGATACTTTCACACATGTTTTGTCACACGTTTTTACGCAAGTGATAGAATATGCTTCACAGTGAAATCCAGGACGAGAACTTCAACTTATATGGGACTAGTCAGATGGCTGTACCTTCATCTCAAAGTTGACAATTCAAAGTCAGTACCATTTATGTCAAACACCAAATGCGTTCTCCACTTAGCTACTGAGTTTATTTAGTAAGTCACTTGTACAACGGATATAAGCTTTAATTTAGTTTGTATTCTAGCGGATAACTTAAAAAGAACTCACTGTTCAATAAAGATTTCTACTACGCCCATCTTTTTCAATTTATCAGACACTATCAATCAGCAGGTTTGTGTTTAATACGTTGACATTGAAACTAAATGTGATTTTCAGTGATAATATCGATACAATAATCAAGAGACATCCAGCTAATGGCTTGTAATTGACACGAAAAGTTCATCATGAATAATCCTGTTAGCTACCATCTGAAAATTTAAAAATACATCCTGATGACTGAAATAATTGTTAATCGTTTCTCTTATAGTCATCTTATGATTTTAAAGGACTGAATATATTCAATAACCTGTCGCATTTATGTTTTTTTTGGGAAAAATATCTGTGCCTAAATCAGTCGTCAAGCTTTTTACGTTTTCTACACAGTTTTGCCACTACGAAATTATGAAATATAATCTACTTGAAAAATCATCTCTTCAAAATTTAATATAGCCCTATTGATAGAGTAATAATGAAAAAAATGTTTATATTTGTTGCAGCATATTTGAACAAAAACTGACTTTTCAACATAAAACTCTTTACTAAGAGTTGCTTCTTCAGAAAACAGATGAGATGATTATATTGATAAAAGTTAACATGATACATGGAACAAACTGAATCCAAAACCAAACACAGCCAAACTAGTCTGTTCATGTTCAGAACATATCATCCCAGATAAGGAAAAAAGAAGGAAAGATGAAAACCCAATGATACGAAAACATAATCCAGTATGTTCAATTGAGTTTAGTCGCTGTATTTTGCTGTTTTCTAGATCAGTACTATGATGTTATGGAAGTAAGATGCGGAACTTAGCGATAAGACCGATAATATATACGTATATAATTCTGTCAAACTTCTGTGAATGATTCTATGTCAATAATGACTGGTTGTCCAACTGCCACATATATTCATTTCAATCAGGATATCTTGAAATGTCTCGTAATTGACTACTGAACCTCATTTAAACATCTTATACATAAGGATATTACAATTCACATATTGCACAAAGGTAAAGAAACATTATTTAACTCAGAAATAGATATAATGAAAAATTATCCGCCATATTAATTCAAACAAATAACATTACTAATGCTTAAAAAACCGACAACATAATCACAAATCTAGGGCATATTCACATATAATATAACAAAAGAAATCCTGTTTGAAAATAATATTTTCTATGCTAAATTGATTGATTTGATGAAGAAAATAATGTTTTAAAAATCGTTTTGTTTTGAAAATCGTTACTAACGATACAATTCAACATTATTGTGTGTTGTTTTTGTTTGAAAACGCATATAGATTGAACAACCATATCAATTCAATGGAATCAATGGAATTTTTTCAAGTTCACTAGATTACATTTTTTTTTATTATTCTTGACTCATTTTTTTTTCTAACAAAAGAATATGTGATTTGGCCAACAGATAAAAAAAAATAGAATGATTATAATAATAATGATTATAATCATAATGGCTAATTAACAAATTCCTGTTATTTATTAGTAATTTTTTCTTGTGTAGTTATAAACATAAACTCCAAATCACTGTTTACCTGGTAGACTTTATATGGATAGCATTTACGTAGTATAGTACAGATTTTTTATTTAATAATTACGCATACCGTTAGACAGAAATTTTCAAGGTCAACATCAAAGTCATACGGTTATTGTATGTGCACAGAACACGTATTATATTTCTTTATTTCAAAGAATTAATATGTGATTTTTAAGCATTTGTAAAAACATTCTAATAGAATTTGTTCAAGTAGACGTAGGCTCAAGTGAAAAATAGCCGTTTATTTTGTTGCAACATAGTGCTCTAATATGAACTTGTTATGTACTTTTATAATCAAAGATATTAAAAAACTATTGTCAAACTATCTTGAATTTAGTAGAAACAATGACAAGAGAAATCATGATGAAATACTTCTTAAATTGGTTGGAAACATCTTGAATAAATATCATTTTCTTATTCTCACCACCATCACAATTTTTATAACGGCCAGAAGACCTATGACCATCATGGTAAGGTAGAGAGGTTTTAAAAATTCTTTTCTTTGTACAAATAAAAAAAAATACTCAACCATTTTTAAAGATTTCACTAGGTATAACTAATGTAATTTATTGTAAATTAGGTATGCTGTCGGGAATTCTTATAGTTTGATGAAAGTTTTTTAACAAGAAACCATAGCAAGTAAAAATCTGAACCCTTTAAATAGAAAGTTCTATGCTCAGTTCCTATGTTGTTGGCTGGTTGAGATTATGCACTGCTAAACCGTATTTGACTCTTTATTACAGCTGTCACAGAAAATCGGTTCACCTAAGTATGATATACGGTGATTGAATGAAAGATTTATTTCATAACTTACTTGATTGTCCAACCAAATTAGAGTGAGATCGCGGGCCACCCAAGTAGTGAGCTGTACGTTGAATTTAACGCAGTCACTAAAGCACATTGTTAAATAATCATGTATTGACCAGTTTTTTTCGCAGATCAATTCAAGTTAATAAGATGAGAGCGGTTGACAACTGTTGTATTCAAATATTGGTCTGCATAACAGCGCAGCCCAACAACCTACCACAAATCGAGCTCAACACAATCGATTTTCACGGGAAGTTCGGAACACTCAAATCGCTGAATTGTTATGGATTAGTTTGTATTCTTCGGTAATCAAGATGATCATAAAAACATAAAAAAAGTCTGTTGAAATTAAAGGGTTTATAGAGAAGAAAATGAAGATAGAAGGAAAGATTTTTATGAGAGAGAAAAATCAAAAAAATATATATTTATTTTCATTTTACGAGAAATTATGGTAAAAGAAAAAAAATTTCCCTGGTAAATTCTTAGTTATACCTGGTTGAATTCTTATTCTTTTTCTGTCTAATGCTTTTTTATAAAAGTTATGAGATAAACTATTTTTTGGAATACCAACCATTCAATTAGTTGAAAAAAGAACAAGGTGTTTAAAAAACGAGAAAAAAAGGAGATTTATTTCCCAAGTAGACGTAGTGTATGGAGACAAATAACGAAAGTTTCATCGTTCTACTATTTACCTACAGTTAGTTTATGATTCTTTGATTTCAGATTGATAGCATCAACACTTGTGATGGAGTTCGATTGTCTGAGCTGGATGTATTGGTTGTGGAGCTTTTATTGTTCTTTTGAACATTATTAGCACAAATTTCAGGTAGAATTGAAGTATTTGAATTTCTCCAAAGTTAATTCCAGCTTATCATACCTGGAGAAATTTCAATGCTTCAATTCTACCTGATATTTGTGCTGATGATGTTGCTCAAGAGAACAATGAAAGCTCTTTAAACAAAATATCCATCTCAGGGAACAAAACTCCACCATATTCATTCATCTGGCCTACAAATTTTCTCCATTATCTTAGTATTAATCGATGTTTCAATATGTATTCTGTTTACATGTTTCCTGTTTGGTAGATAAGAAGTATTTCTTGCAGTAGTGGAAGTGAATAATCCGAACGAAGTTTCTTTCAAGGTAACTAAGAGATTTAATACACACTTATTTCAAATCACTATTAATAATAGGAGAAATTCCTTGACAAGGAAAGAGTATGCACTTAACTTTCAACCACAAGGTTTATTTAAGGAGTATCACGACTTTATGGTGGCTGCTGAAACAGGTATAGGTGATAGTAGGTTGGAAGCTGCATTTTACTGTTTGGATAGGATAAGCAACCGCTAAAAACGACCAGTAGTAAGTAGTATTAGTATGTTATCAAAATTTCACTATCATGGACTAATTCAGAATGATTTGATAATTTGCTACATTAACAAATTCAAATTTTTCAGTAAATTGATTTGTTTTGTCTCAGTTGACAAAATCTTTCAACTTTGTTTAGAAATGACTAGCCGATATAAATTAGATTTGTTTATTTTATTTTCAACCTCGTTTTTTTTTTTCGTTTAACACAATCTAACAAACACAGAACAGGGTACAATGCATCATCATTTCTGAAACCTACCGAGCACATATACTCACTCACTCACTCATAGATAAAAGCGCATCACACATTATTGATTTTTGAGAAATAAATAAAAATGAAAAGTACACTTTTAAGTGAAGCTTTTATGTAATCTTCACATCGTCGTTTAATAAGTTCATCATGAGATTTGGCGAACATTAAATCAATATATTCCACTTAAATGCCTTAATAGTTAACGAATCAGATTTCTAAACAAAAAAAGAACACAAATAAAAACCGAATGAGATCATATACATGAACATTAAAATAAAACTGCTGTAGATTTCAACTTGGATAATATTCCTTTCATCAAAATCTCATCATCTGTTCACGAAACAACTTATCACAATGACAAGTGAAGAGAGCCTCAATCGATTTGAAATGAATCAATCAACAAGTTATACCGAGTCGATTTATCATTTCTGTTATGGTTTTTTATTGCATCATTTACACGTAAAAAATAAATCAAAATCATTTGAACGTACTGAAGCAGAAAACGAAGTTGAAAAAATTAAACCTATCTATCCGGTTCGATTATGTTTATTATTTTGTAAAGATCGTTTACGCATAAAACGTTTTATCACACATACTAATCGTTATAAACGTTATACACTATTTTACAAACAAATTGAAGTTTACTATTTTACTCCACATATGAAACATTTAGTAATTTTAGGTATTATTTCACCAAATGGTAGTAAACGTGGCTATCAATACATTTATATTGAAAATAAAGATGATCATTTTAAAATACAAACAATATTAAATCAGATATTTGAAAATCCATTGAAAATATTATCAAATATGCCGATCGTTGGTCAATTGATTATTGACAGTTTTAAAAATGAATCAATACGCAGTAGAAGACTTGGACGATTAATCATAGACAGTACATGTAGACCAAATAGTGCAATTGATAAAATGCAAGAAAATGAAGATTTTGATCCAGCTAGTGAAGTAGTGTCTAGGATTGACAAAATTGAAATGCTAATGTAAATAATAGATTGATACTTATTCATTTCGTACAAAATGAGTAGCATTCAAAAAAAAAAGAAAATCTGCATTGAATGAGAATCTATTGAATTTGTTTTTTTAAAAATATAACATCATATATTTTATTATTTCACACTTTACATGACCAATGGTTTTGTTAACATATGCAAATAATATATATTTTTGATTAAATATATTTTTGTTCAATTTTTTTAAAATTTAAAACTACTTGTTATTGCTTAACTTGTAAATAGTTATTATCATTTTGTGATTATGTATATTATATTTTGTGTTGTACGCAAGTAAGCAACTTCACTGATGTTTTATAGTTATATGTTTGTAAGTCAGCTAGCTACATTGACTTCGCCATCTGACACAACTCATTACGATTCAGGTCTTGATCGCTTTGTATTCTTTATACAAAGTATTTTTTCACCTAATAATATTTAGATAGTGACTGACGACTGTATGTTCAAAATTCAAATTGTTATGATGTATTTATTCTTGATTAGGATACAATACACACATAACATCTTAAAGTTTTCAATCATCACTGCTAACTATGCATTTTTACATGGATGTCTCGTTCTCACTTGGCCGCAGTGTTTGATCGATAATATATATTCAAACTGATAATGAGGCAGTTATTGATTGTGTAAAGCCGTTTTATGTTAAGTCTGAAGGTCGCTAGGTCTTCACAACATAGTTTCAGTTTAATAAGGTTTAAACTATGCATTCCGCACTAACTTTTTATTGTCTCTTTGACATAAAAATAACCATGTGTTATGTATTAAACTAAAAATAGGTTCTACGGTTGAAATATTCATCTCAGATCGTATCGCTAATTTATTTACTTCTACGGAGAGCCTTTGCTTTATTAATTAATAGCTAACTAGAATAATATGCATTGGTTTGCGTGGTAAATGTTTGCTTAAGTAAATAAATCTGTGATAACTGTTTATTGTGTTTATCATACACGTTGAGTTCTATCAATCAAGGTTATGATGAAACGTGGCATATACTACTTCTTAAATATTTATTCTGTGAATATTTTTTGGCAAGAAGACTGAACTCATGTAACTAAAATAATCAGTCATCGATAAACATTAGACACACATTTTAACTTGGAGCAAGCGAAATCTAAAACATTCATCTGTCCATGTTAAATAAGTTTTCAGTGCAAATCAATGCTACATTAAGGAAGAGATTTTTCTAGAAATGAGAAAAAAATTCAGAATAATCTAGGTTATAGTAATTACCGAATTTTGAAACAAAGTAATAATTTATCATTAAAACCCAGGTCTTACGGATAAATTTTTCATTGCTTCACGAACAGTGATCATTTTAATGAATGAAATTTTTTTAACAAGATAAAAAAATACACTATTTTATCAAGTCACTTTTTTCTGAAAACACTAAGTATGCTCATTTTTGAAACTTCACAAATTCCAAGTTTTTGTTTTTAAATGGCGCCATAACAGACACCGATTTTGATAAAAACACATAAATATATTATTTGAATGACTATTCTTAATTCATAGTTGGTTCTCATAGATCAAACCACGCGGATAAAACTTTAAATACGCTTTTTTTTCCTAGGACACTGCTATAGGTGCATGATTGTTGGTAACAATGTCGTAGGTTGAAGTTGTCTTGAAAAGTCTGAAAAATCGAACTTATGATATTTAAGTCTATGGAAAAATATGCAGAGCGAACGACTTTGTGATGGAATTTTTTCAGTTAACAGAGCTCCTAATCATTTTTCTAGTACTTACCTCAAAAAGGGAAATATCAAAGTTGAATTAACATTTTCAGAAGCCGTGATTGTTCTATTGAAGCAGTTTAAACCGGAATAGACTTTCCAGACATATATGCTTGCATATCTATTGCTATTGAAATTGATCAGCTAATGCTGGACATCTGGTGTTTAGAAGAGACATGTACGTCATCTTACTTTACCATTGTTATAGCACTCGTTCTAATTTAACAGGTTTTTATTGAAACTTCCCATTTTGTCTATGAATTATGGCTCAACATCATTCATGACGCTGTTGCTTAGCTTGTATTTAATATTTGAGATAGTCTTGTTATTTTTTGCATCTCTGGTAAATGGTTGAACATTCTCTGTACTATTACGAACTATCTGGCGTGAAACCTGTTGATGAATGCTACCTTATATGATAACTTTCAGAAAAAGTTATTCATGGTTTACACATAGGAATGATGCTTGTTAGATAACCACTGAAAACCAGGTGAGACTAAAAAGTCATTTATTCGTGGTACTTGACTCCTTGGCAGTGTGAAACAACAACTTCATTGTGGATTTTCATAAAACTGTAAGATGAGAAACATAATATTCTTCCTAATGGTCAACTATGAGTTCTTGTATGTATTCAAGACCTGTGGAATTCAGCTGTATCACGTATGAGTCATATAACTCACTGCTATTGATAATGGTCATCAAATACCGTTTGAACTTAGACTGGATGCTATCCGAGCAATCTGAAGGATAGGCGCTTAGTGAGGGACTTAAATGTTTTGGATTCGATCCTTTTGTGTAGTTGTGAGTGGATAATTCTGTGGAGTCCCTTGCTAGAGAGAAATAACTGTATAATTACTCTCCGTTGCTAGTGGATATCTGGTTAAGATCAATCCATGATAGGAACTATTAATTGAACAGTTTTTTTATGGAGTTAATTTTTTTTTATTTCAAGCATATTCTGTTATTGTTCTTCTTGGAGCGATTTCTCCTACCAGGATTCTTCTGACTTCTTAATTTTCTCCAGACGTCCGAATAATTGTAACAAGAGAATAACCAAGCTTTCTTCATTACCCTTTTTCTAAGTTACATCTTTTCGCTTTTCATCATCAATGTCATTTCAACTTGACTGCAAAAGAACTATGTCTCTAGTAAACATATTTAACTAAGCTTTATTCATCATCAAACATTATTTTGTCTATGATAAGGGATTAAATTTTTGTTAAAATTCTTAAAAATTCACGAATCATCAAATTACTGAGTCTGAAAATCTATTTTCTAATAAGGACAGATGCATCCATCATATTGCATAATTGTCGTATTACTTCTGCTCAATAATTCGATAAAAAATATTTTCATTTTTATTCAACCGTAAGAAAATCAGGCTTTTGTTGGGAACTATTTCTAAACAAACTTGAAACAACTTATGAAACTCACTGGGAAAATTTAATCACAACGAATCAATCTAGAACTAGCTGGCAATTTTTATTCAAAATATATATTCACATTGAATGAAGAAGAGTTAACAGTCACTGTATAATGGATTTATGTCTTTTTTTAAAAAGTTCGGTCAGCATATGGATAAAAATACATGATCAATAAACATATATCTGGTTAAACAACCACTGGGAAGTTAACTGTCATTTAAATTATCTAATAAAATTATGTTTGTAATATTTTAGTATAAGGTAGATTGAATATACTAAAATCATGTATTTAATGTTATTGTTACAAAACTGATAGAAAACGATAGCACAAAAATTGATAACAATAATTGTAATTCCTTTTTTGTCATAATATGATGCTCTAAAATACATGATCGAATTGATACCTAAAACAAAATGATCTCAAAGAAGAATGATTCCATATTATTATTTACAAAACTAAAAAAATTATTTACTCTATAGAGTTATGGAGATTGTTAGGTCTCGTTGAAATGATGAGTCGATCATTGTTAGACCACCATTTGAAAACCTGGCGGCACTGGCGAACCGTTTCGTCCTAGTACGGGATTCATAATCTGTCCAGTACATTTAGGTTTCAAATGGTAGTCTAAGCATGATCGATTCAGTATTTCAACGAACCTTAACAGTCTCCATAATTATACAGTGAAAATCATAAAATATGCTCACTGATGACTAGCATCTTAACAAAATTATCGGATTTCTAGTGAGGAGCAGCCATCAGTGGAGTTCAACGCTGTCGGGTTTAGCAACGAACTATAGAAAACAATAGGTGAGGTACGGTTAAACCTTAGATCAGTCGAAGTTAGACATTAACACCACTGGATGCCGGCCCAGTGACATAGAGGTTAAGCATTCACGCGCAAGATCCAAGGTTCTGGCTTCGATTCCTGAGGGTAGAAGGAGTAGTTTTCGCGCACTATTGACGAGTCACATACTAGGACGAAACGGCAGTTCAGTTCTTCCAGGTTTCCGATAGTGGTTTAACAATAATCGGTTCACGGTATCAAACAACATTATTTGGAAATAATTCATAGTATAAGAGAACCATATTTCTTAACTTACTTACGCTTTTGACCCTCCAATTGAGCATAGGCAGCCGACCAGTATTCTCTAATCTATTCTGTCATTGACCTCCCTTTCCAGTTCTATCCAATTTTCGTTCATTCTTCTCATGCCTTTCTCTATATCTTGGCGTAATGTGTCTCTTGACTTTCATCTTTTCCTTTCACCTTGATGGTTCATAGTTAAACCTTGCCTTGGGACGCTGTTGGGTGCTTTCCACAGTCTGTGTCCTATCCACTTCCACCGCTTCTTCCTGATTTCCTCCTCCGGTGGAGGAACTTGGTTTGTTATCTCCCACAGTAAGTTGTTGCTGATTGTGTCTTGTAAACGGATCCGACATATTTTGAGTAGACAATTGTTAATAAACACTCGTATCTAATCGACCATGGCTATTGTACTTCCCTAAGTTTCCGCCCCGTACAGTAGAACTGTCATTTGAATTGAAAATGCTGACTTTGGTGTGAGTTGATAGTTGTTTGGTGTTTCAGATGTTTTTTGATCGTAGAAATGCAGCCCTTGCTTTGTCGATCAGCGCCCTCACATCCCTACCTGATCCACCTTGGTTGTCGATGATGCTGTCCAGATATGTAAAGGTGTTAATGTCTTCCAAAGAATCTGAATCAAGAGTGATTTGGTTGGCGCATGTTGTGTTTTATCGGAGAATCTTGCTATTCCCTTCATGTGTGTTGAAACCTAATGCTGAGGCTGCTGCTACACTGGTCGTCTTCTCTTGCATTTGTTGTTGCTTGTGCGATAGAAGAGCCAGACTATCTGCAAAGTCCAGATTGTCCAGCTGCATTCTAGCCGACCGTGCTTCCCTACAGATGTTGACGTCTTCATAATCCAGTCGATTACCAGGGGAAAGAGAAAGGGTGAGAGTAAGCAACCTTGTCTGACACCAGTCTTCACCTTGAACGTGTCTGTTATCGGGCGTACTTCGAGGCAACTTACACAACGAATGAGTGAACATCTCACAGCATGGTTTACAAAGGGTCAGTCAAAAACAATACGCGGTTCTATCTTAGCACACCTGGTAGATAGTGGTCACATTGTAGGTAAATCTAGATCTTTTCGGGTGATCTATCGTATACCTCCATCATTTCCCAACGGAGTTCGATCCCGTCTCCTACACATTGCAGAAGCCATAGGAATACGCACATTCAACCCTAATTTATGTGTTCAGAAGAAATTCGTGACACCCCTATCTCTCCCGTGGCCGGATATGACGTAACTAACGATTGACATTATATATATTTTTATTTATTTTTATTTTATTATTTTTATTATTTTTACACATCTGCTTATTACGTAATGTTTTTGATGTTTTTTGATGATTATTTGAATTCTATTCATCCACCTTTGACCTACTTTAGTTATCATATTTTATAAATTTTCCTACTACTATCTGTTCACCTATCTTCCTACTATCCACTTGTACTTTTGCCTTTTTCATTTCATTGTGATTATCACTCAAATTGCCTTGATTGGTTTTAACATTTTCATATAAATATTCATGTATATTAGAGAGTAAAGCTTGATGACGATCTAATCGAAAACAATATTGTTCGCTTATATGTGTCGTTCTAATTTATTTTTAAGATAGAAATTTAATAATAAATTGACAAAGAAAACAATTTGAGAGTTTAGAGAACTTTTTTAGTATAAAAGTAAATGGATGTGAATGCGTATTGTGACTTAAGTAATTCATTTAACTGATCTTAACTCTCATAAATCTATTTATTTGCTACAGAACATTTCATGAACAGTTATTCAAACTAAATATTATTATATTTTATTCCCTAATTTCAAATCATAATTAGCGATTGAATATTTATTTAAATTAATTGTCGGCTACTTATGATAAACAATGATGAATTCGCACAAATAACTTATTACTTGATGCATTTTTATTATTCATAACGAAGATTATTTATCATTCAATTGGTGACATAACAGATTTGTAACTTGTCGTATACACTTTAGAATAAATGTGTTTTCTTATTTACCTAATTTCTTCATGAACTGGCATTTACCAGTAATTGTAAGCTTGATAACTAAAACTGATTGCATATGAATAAGTGATCATCATTTCACGATAAGAAGTACATTTACTCAGTAATAATTTACAAAACATCTTATTTCTTATTTGTATCCTGAATTCAATGGAATATTTATTATTTACTGTAACAAACTAAACGTCGTGGTTTATGTAACTTCACCTAACATACAAATGTATGCTATTATGTTTAAAAGATATTGTAAGATGTTGAGAAGACAAAATTTCGCATCTTGAAATATGCTGACAAAGTTGAAAGGAATACCTGAACATTTATCACATATTCTTCCTAATAAGTTTATTTAGTTTCTGAAAGTTTTCAAAATAAGCTCTTCAAAATACTATACTACTAACTATACTTTGATCAATTTTCTGTATTAATGATCATTAGAACATTATTTCTTTTGAAAAGTTTACATTTATAAAGTTTCTCAAGTATTAATCTACAAACACTGATATCTTTTCTATGATGAAAGGAATTGATTAATTTGGGTTTTTTTATACTTGTTATATTCAGAGTTATATGTACTAACAATCGGTTTCACAGTTTTAATCAATAGAAACACATAAATTTAGTGTTTTGATATTTCTTACTTGAAGATTGGAAAAAATCAAACTAAAATAGGACCATAGGAAATTGGCTTATCGCTGAATTACTCATCATCGTCAGGAACACTTACAAATAAAGTCATATTTGACTAAATCATTCGAAATGCAGGAGAAAATACATCCACAGCTTGTATATAAGCTGATCGAGGATTTTAGTGATATTTTTTTGAAGCCCTTCTGTATATCTGATGAAATTACATACACACAGAAATGTTTTCTTGAATAAAGCTAGTGAGCTTATGGTAAGTAGGAACAGAAATTAGGACATTTAATATCTATGGTTTTGCTATTTTATCTAAAATAATATTTTATGCTCAGAAAAACTGGACTTAGCGAAGCTATTACATCTGGTCACCAGTAGATGTATGTTCCTAACCTTGTGCCATTGATTTTTAAAATAACTACCTCCTATAATCAAATATGTAGCTTTTAAAATACATTTGATATCATTTAATTTCATATTAAAAATAGAAGGACAATTCTGAAAATCAGTCTATACCTGAAGTTGATTCGTAATGTTTTATGTGGATATATGATGAAGTTATTTTAATCACCCAATAAGCATGTTTCTTTTCATCAAATGAATAAAATTCCTGTGATTGTTCCTTTTAAAATCTGGATAAATTATAAGCTGCAAGATACGCATCCTATATTCTATGTTCAAACACTATTTCTGATGCTATAAGATAACCTAATAAATATAACCTCTGTTGAAGAACATAAAAGTACGGCTAGATATCGGAAGCTAAGAAGGTTACATTATAGGGTACTAAGTGTACGATAGGCTTTAATTCATGATGATGTTCATTAAAGAATACCTTGAAGATTCAAAAACAAGTAGCTAAAAAAAAATCAACAAACCATGTAAATATACGAGATGTATTTCGAAAAATAACAAGGTAAAGTAAAGAATTATTTAATTACTCATAAAATTACAATGTTAGGCTGCAGTCTGTTCCTCATTATAATCATTGTCATCATTGACAATTCTTTCACAGTACATATAAATAGGTCCAAGATGTGAAATTGTTGCACCAGCTACAGAATCCGGATAAATAAAGGTAACTCCAGCCGGCCAGTCAGATGGTGGATACAAATCGGTTACTTCGTAATTATCATCTAATGAGGCATCCTCATATCCACTTCTGTAAAATAGCTTTGCTGATTCGCGGTCAGCATGAAATATTGGCGTAAGTATAGGTTCTACTTGAGTGACCGCTTCGAACATATCGCTAGGAACATCTTCATCGGTTTTGACATGATAATCATCATTTATTCCATTATGATAGTGCACTGGATCACTACCTTCCTGTGTATCATCTGACTCAAGTTTAGCATTGACATTCTCGACAGATCCTTCATCACTACTTAACCTACATGAAACAAAGCTAGATAGTGAACTGTTTGCACCATATGGTAATGTGGCTCTACGAACATCATTGCCATTTTCCATTAATTCTTCTTGATATATGTCATTTTCGTCATCATTTTGACCGGGTTCTTTCCAAACAATTGAACCAAGTGATCCACGACTAGATTTTTTACCACGTAATGATGACATTGACAGTGTACCTATTGGATTTAAACCAACTAATTTCCGTTCCTCATTTTCACATGCTTTAAGGACATAAGTACGAAATCTTGTAAACTCCAAATCGTCTTCAATTGTTAAACATTCATAAGCACGTATTCGTCTATCCATACTGACAATACCGAAAATAAGTAGATTTTTTACATTATGTGTTTGGTAGATAGTATCAATTTGTTGATAAGATAGAAATATACGTTTATAACTACTTGTTGACCTTTTATAAGCTTTCATTCTTAATCCATTCTCTGTAACAAAAATCAAACGTTTTTGTGATCGAGATTTATTCAGACGGGTAACCAACTTCGCTATATCGGCTTGATCGAATTTTTCACCAGGTTTCAACTTCTTTTGTAACAATAACTTTGCTGTACATTGATGATAAATCTTCTCCTTCACATCGTAATCCTTTCCATATAAAGTAGGTACAGAGTTACTCAAATTGTTTTTCTTTATTGATTTGCGTGACATTATATTGTACGTTTAAATGTTATGTTGTTTGTTCCAATTCCGAAAAATACAAAATCCGATACGAAGAGAAATATATGTAAAATCAGAGTATTTATAGGTATCTGTTATGACTAAATATGTTACTTCTAATAATACAAGAAAGATCAAAATTAATTATAAAGTTTAATTAATTAAATATCTCTAATTTAACAATACATTTGTCAGTAATGTGACCAATGATTATACTTCAAGAAATATAACAAAAGGATATTGTTAAATGTTGTAATGCGCCTGACACATAGTAATTTATATGTACGTTGTTTATAATTAGATAGAAATCCTTTCACTTTTCAGTCAATTAGACTAAATAAACATAAGGAACGTGAGTAAAAGTCGTCGGCACTGAAAAAATTTATATCATTTTTGTAATAAAAATTTGTACGTCTGTCAGTTCATCCAAAAAGTCATTCATGTGCATTATTTCGCGTATGTATGTACGGAATTGGAATTGTGTATCAGTGCATTTAACATGCACACATTAACTACATACACTACAATAGAATGACTCATAGACTTGATAAACCGAATGAAGAAAAGGTTTGCACATCTGAACCAATTAGTACTCACCATAAGTCTAACGGAATAACAAAAAACTTGGTCGTAACGTTTAAATTTGACCTGTGACTTTATCGATTAATTCATTTCGTGCATTGTCATTACACAATTATACGATTCTATATTTCTATGTACATAAATCAATAAATGACATAAAATATAAAGAACAAAAACTTTAATATACCAGAATATGTGGGTAATCAATCATGTTTGAATTGAGAAAAAACCTTAAGATAACAAAATGTTTCATATGTGTATATATGATCTGCACTCTTATGATGGTTAAATTTGATGTCGAGTTTTTCGGACGGTTAACATATTCAACGAATGGTTAGCGCATCAAATTTTAAAGTAGTCAGAATTCCGTCAAGCAGCGCTAGATAAGACTCCGTATGATGGGTGATGAAGTGTTATTCAAAGTTCAAATGGAAAGGTCTTACATGTTTAATATACTAAATACTTCTCCTAGAAATGTATAATGAAACATGTTTTGTACTCTTGAGAAATATTTACTGGATGTTTGAGCACTAATATCACTACCGAATTTCTCAAGGTTCGAAGAACGTTAAAGGTAATACAAATTTCTTCGAATATAAAGAGTAAGGTTTTCGGTCAGAATTTCCATACCTTTCATTTTATGTGAGAGCTTCATTCACAATAATGATTAGATAACAGGAAGCAATGAGATGCTGTAAATGCTGTGAATTCTACCAATTGACAAAAAACAACCTACTGGAAAAAGATTAAAGTAGGTATCGCCACTCCAAATGAATGAGGGAGATTTGGACTAACTTTTCTCGAACGTAGCTGCTACTTTGGTGTTGTGGTCGGGCTTGCCTGTTGTAATGGCACAACCGAGCTATATTGGCTGTAATATATGTTCCGGAAGGTTCTACCATGCCAAGTAGATCGACTGGAGAAGGATGAGACTAAAAGCAGCTACTCAAGGTCTGAGGGCGAAGTCGTACTGCTGACTGCAGAGTGGTGTGACAGCAGTGAGGTGTTTCCCTCGGACAACCAGCATTTACGGCGATGCTGCCTTCTCACAAGGAAGGGACGGTTAGAAAACGCAGACCCTAAAATGTCACATCTCACCTTATCTCAAGGATTTCTGTCTCTGGCGGTAAGGACCTGGACGTGGATGTATAGACCAAATATTCACGCTAAATTAGATCCTAGAACAAAGACACGTTCAGACGCCCAACAACAGTAGTATTTCTCGACCTTAAAGCGGCATTCGACTCTGCTGATCTTGAGGTTCTGTGGCAGTGTCTGTCATTAAAAGGTGTGCCAAAGAAGGAAGTTTACCTTATAAAAGCTCTCTACTTGAATACCACTGGTCGAATGAGAGCTTATGTCGAACTGTCATCAGGATTAGTTACTTCAAGTGGTGTCCCTCAGGGATGTCCACTCTCTCAATTCTTGTTTAACTTTGTCGTAGATATGCTTTTAGAGTTAACATTATCATCGTGTGACTCTTCTGAAGTGGACCTTTTACCAGGAGACACTCTTGCCGACTTAGAATATACTGATAGCACAGTCCTATTCAGTGAGGACGCTGAAAAAATGCAGTCTTCTGACCATCTTAAACAACAATGCAAGCAAGTTCGGGATGGCGTTTTCCCCGTCGAAATGCAAAATGTTGCTTCAAGACTAGGTTGCATCGACACCTGAAATAGTGATAGGGAGTGAAGTAGTCGAACATGTAAACCACTTCACTTGTGTTGGTAGTCTCATCAGTGCTGATGGCCTGGTGACGGACGAGATCTTAGCATGGATACAGAAAGTTCTACTGGCTTTTGCCAACTTGCATCACCTATGGCGCAGGCGAGATATCCGTTTGCTAAACAAAGGATGAAAGTACTATGCAGCAGTTTGCTCCATCCTAATTTATGGCTGTGAAACATGACCAGTAAGAGTAGAAAATATTCGTAGGTTACTGGTTTTCGAACATAGGTATCTCCAAAGCATTGGCCCAAAGAAGTAAGCAATGCTGCCTTTAGGAAACGAGTACTAGGTAGAGATAGCAAGTCAATAGATCAAGTATTGAGACTCCATCAGTTGAGGTGGTTAAGACATGTGTTGCAAATTACCGACCATCTACTGCCTCGACGAGCTATGTTTTGTGATGTAGGAGTGGGTTGGAAGAAAGCTAGGTGCGGCCAGACCAAAACATGGTAGAAATCCATGAAGTTACTGACAAGTGGACTGAGTCATGTTGGTAGATGTAAGCTACCTGTTTGGGATCCGCAAGATGAAACTCACCAATGTGTAGAGACCTTGAACGACATGGCTCAGAATCGTTTGCAATGGCGCAGGTGGATCCACTCTTCGTGTTCTCTCAAATCCTAACTATATGAATTCGACATCATCCCTATCTTTCTCTTTCTAAGTTTATCTTACTGAATCATACTTCTCGAATCATGTCTTCGAACCCTAATCTTCTCCATTACTGCTAATACTCCTACTATCGCTACCACTCTTCGATTTGAACTGATAGCTGCGTCTCTGTGCTGATGTGGTATGGCAACCTGAACTGGACTAACTATTGTATAAAACGAATTGCATAAACAAGCCTTGTTTTCGTATTCGAGGATGTTCACACTATTTTTCCTCCCATTCTTGATGATTTATTAAACAAACCTAATTATCCTTTCCATACCTAGTTCATTTCAGTCTATATAATATTTAGAATATCGATATTAATACTTGTGTATAAGCTAATAATTACAATTATTATTTTACTGTCATTTTCAAGGATTAATAAAGTGTCTAGCACAAATAAAAGTCATTTTAACTGTTTTAAATGAAACACAATACTCAAACATTAGGTTAACGCTTCGTTTTTTTCTCATTTGGAAGTAAATAAACTCGGTTGTTCGATAGTGCAGAAGAATTTTCTGGGTAACATTGTTTTTCATTCATAACTCATTATTAATTATATCACTATTACTGGCTTTTAACCTGTAATATATCCGACTTAATAACCCATAGTTGTCATCAATACAAAGACGAAAGTAATATCTTCCATTTTCATAGATTAGTGTCTGAGATTATATATAAAAAATAAGCCTTTTTTTTTGTTTACAAATAATCATTATGATAAGTCGGTAAAATCTCTGCCGACTAATCTGTTCAAGAGTGTTTAGTTTACTGTAAAGCTTGTTACAATGAAGAGGATAAACAGAACATAATATCGTAGTCGATATTTTAAGTAGTATTTTGAGGATTTTCTACTGTTTTATTTTATAATCGAAAACAAAAGTCAAAAGAGCTATAGATTTAAAACTCACTGCTAATTGTTCAACAAATAACAGCCGAAATGAGTGAATTCATCTGGTGTAAAATTTCATGTTATTTTCTTCTACCATATATCCGTTAATCGTAGAATAGGTGCAGTAAAAGGCCATAAATTTTTATCTGTACATCCCTCCTCATTTGTTTGAATACTTTTAAAACCATTAGGAAATGCGTTTTTTCTAACCAGTTTCTGAGAGTTCAGTATGAAACCTTACTAAACATTGCATGAGATGCTAGCTTTCGTTCATTACTAAGTTGTTTAAATCTAGAATGCATCAAATACTGTCGGCAATTTTGACGTGTAAAAATTCGAATGCCTCACTTCTATCTGAAGTTTGTACTGATGATGTTATTCAGAAGAACAATGAAAGCTCCATAACCAAAACATCCAGCTCATAGAACCAAAAACCACCGCAATCATCCACTTGAGCTACAGATTTTTTCCACCATCTCAAAATTCTATGTTTCTTTCTGAACTGCAATTTGTTGTTTAATCTGTTACTTAGTTATGGCGTCAGCCATACTGAATTGTTCCTCCTTTGGCTGTACTGACTGAAAGTGTGCATTTTAATAGTGAATTGGAACACTCTACCAGAATTGGAAACACTCTGTGTTATCATTGAAGGAATAACAGTGGTAATATTGTTTAGGTAATGATGTATATTTGTATTTATGATTAATAATAGAACCGTTACTTATCTAAATCACTTGTTTTGGATTTCAGCTGTGCAAGACGCGTCTCTAAACTTCTCTGAGAGTTATTCCTCAATCCAAACCTCAGTTTGGATCCTACGAAATCATGAGAAATGGTTCTGTATGACGATTGTTAATGTCAAGTTCATGATACGTCTAATAAAGTGGATCAAGTTGACTAAAACAACTGTCTATGATTAAGTCATTTTTCCTAGAAGTTTATCGATCATTTATAAAAAATTATTTTCGAAATTTAAATGATGATGGATTCGGATTAAATTTAAAAGTAAATTATGGCGGATGTAAATATTTCTGGTACTAGAATTATGTTTACAAGAAACGATAAAAAAAATATTCAACTTTTGTTTTGCTCAAGAAATTGCTTATCTATTTTCTCTTTATAATTCCATATA